CCCTTACAGTAGCCTTCTAACTGTACATGTGTGAGATTTCAGAAGTGTGCACTTAATCTTCTGGACCACACTTCAACTCCAAAAGAGCCTGTTCACCTCTACAAGGGATGAACATAGTCAGATGTGGTGCATGAGAGATAAGAGACTTTTCTAGACAGCAGAGAGGGGGCTGGAAGGGACTGTGGCTCTTATACAGGCATCCAAATCAGCAAACTATATTCCAAGGCATTTAGCATCCACGACTCACCACGTCCAGCCTCCTCATGCCAGGATGAAGTTACATGTCATAGCCTGTGGTGAGCCTCCTCCCACATCCCACCACCTTACACTAATGAGAGCACAGATCTGAACCTCCACTAAGCCTAGTCACCTGTTAGGAAACAATAGCAAATTGTTTCCTGACAGGTTAGGGAGTTGAATTGGCTCCCCATGTGGTCAGAGGAGACACACCTAGTGATACTGCTGGTGGGGCAGGACTGCATGGCCTGCAGCAAGGACAGAGGGGCCAGTGTAGGACCTTCTCCTTTCAAGAGTGACTAGCCATTGGGTTTACTCAGCTGTTCATGTGCTACTTCAATGTGAATGCTTGACTGCAAAGCTAATCACTCTCCAGGTAGAGGAGCCACCTGAATGCCCTACACAAGGCCTGTGGCAGAGGTGTGAGCAGGACCTACTTCTAATGCTCCAATCTTGTCTGTTACTGAAAGCACATCCTTCATCCTATGGCCTCTGAATGAAACCAAGGAGTGGAAATCTTTCACCAAATCATTACTGTCACTCTTCGGTTGTTGCAATAGTTTAAACTTATAAAGCAGATTTTATATGCTTTTCACTTCCCTTCTACTTTAGCATGGTATAGCCCTTTTTAATCTGAAAAAAAGAAATCTGATTTATTTTGTAGTATTCTACTGATTACTAAACATGTTGTAATTTAGCAGAGCATTACTGGAAGCTAAGAATAGCTCTAGGCTATCGTGGCCTGGTGGGAAAATCACATTAAAAAACATTCTGTTGCCCTCCGTGACACCTGATTTACGGCTGCCTTTGGTGCAGTGCGCAAACGAGGTGTCCCCTTTCAGCACCAGTTAACTCCGGGTCATAGCCACAGCACACCTCACCACACAGTCAACTATTGGGTTACTTCCATTTCGGACGAACAGGTCTGTTTCTCAGGCACAGGCAGCCCTGGTAGGACCAGGGCAAGTCCCACTCAGTAGGGCAACACCACATTAAGTACTGAGCAGCTCATGCTGGAGCCTACCCCTCTCTGTATGTTTATGCTGTAAAAAACAAGAGGTATTCAGAATATTTCTCAAAGAAATCAAGGATTTGTGACCACATGGTCTGCCCAGCGCTTACCACTTCTGAATCTATTGGCGAAATCCAACCAAATGTGCCAGCAGGATCTGGTCCCACACAGTCTGTGAAAGCTGGTGAGCACCTGGGGAAGAGACGCATCAGCTGCCTTGACTGAGGGGAAGGCAACAGCAGGCAGAAAGCATTACCAGTTTTGCTGGGCCCACCAGCCCGTGCCCTACAGCTGGCCACAGCACATGCTGCCTCTTTGCCTGCATGAGGGAACAGTGAGGGCAGGAAGGACTGAAGGTGGGTCAGGGCCCTAGAAGATGTTCAGTGGTCTGGGGGACACACAAGCACAAGAACCAGGCTGCAGTCGCTCTGCCCTTCGTGATACAACTTGTTTCTTCACAAATAATAATTCTGTCAGAAGAGTTCCCTTACAGGAAGTCCATGCCTTATTTCAACATCAGTGGAAAGCTGAAGGAGCAATCAGCAAAGGAGGACAACCAGGAGAAGATGGAGTTGTGGTAAGCTAATAAGCAGCCAAGTTTGATGGAGCGCTCAAGAGAGGTGGAGGCAGCCAGCAGACTGAAAAAAAGATGAAAGCTATCCTTAGGATTTAGCCAAAAATGTTGGACACTTTCCCAGCCTTGTGCTCCCACATCTGTAACAATGGTGTCAAGAAAGTGCTTGAGAAGTACTGGAGATGGGAACACTAATGGTCTCACCCTGAAGGCTGGAAGGAGTAGAGCCTTTTCAGCTCTACCTGTCCTTGGCCTTGCCTGCCCTTGAAGGGAAGCTGGAAACAGCAGCACTCAGAACAAGTCTTCAGCTCTCAAAACAGGGAGGTGGTGAGCCACCCTTGGCTGGAAATAGGCAAATCCCCCTACGCTGCCTGCGGGCCACTGCCAGGGTCTGTCTTGACACAGCACCCTGGATGGTCAGTGTGCCCTTGTGAATCACCTCCTGCCGTGGGAGGGCCAAGAAGCCCTGTGACCTTCTGGGGACAAACTAGACACTCATGCACAGAGCTACAAGCACAGCCATGTCACCAGTGTGGCTTGTCTTCTCTGAGAAGGGAGAAACACCCTTGCATGTCTGACTTTAGAGGCACCCTACGTGGAGTCCACCAGGCTGCAGGACCCCTTCCATGTCTTCCACAGTCTTTTGTTGTTGCTGTGTTTTTCCTTCCAGCTACAGTCCATCTTCTCTATTTAGGGAGTAAGTCCTCCTCCTCTTGCCTCCCAGATCCCCTCCTCATTTTCACACCTGCCCCCTTTTTTTTTTTCCCAAAAAAACTTTGGAGACAGGCAATTTTATCAGCAAGAACTTTTGCCCTGGGAAAAATACCAATATTTACTGGTGCAGTTCTGTCAGCACTACATGTACATCTGTCTTGAAAATACCTTTGTTATCTCAAGGACCAGACGGTCAGAAATAACATCAGGTAGCCCAGCAGACTAAGTACAGCTCCTTGGTACAGTGTACCAAGGTGTACAGTCCACCACCTGCCCAAGGCTGACTACCAACAGAGCACTGGAAAGCCATTCCTGGGAATGACTGTTGGAGTCCAATGTGAGAATCCAGCAGATCAGTAAGACATATTCATTTGGCAAAATATTTTGAGTAATGAACACTGAGGGCAAAGTCTGTGTGCAAATAATGGGAGGACACTTGCACTTAACCGCCACAAAGTCACTAAGGTCATTAAATGTCTTTTCTGCACATGATCCTTCAAGCCATCCTCATGCACATCCTCTTTGACCAAACACAGAGTGGTAGCTGATCAATATTTTATAATCCCTGGGACTGACTGAGCCTTCAAGTCTACCGAAAAAAAAAAAAAAAAAAAATCAATACAAGGGCCTGACCCTGGCAGGATTAGTACCCCACAGTGTCCAAAAACTGCTCTCCCCATGTCAAACGTGGAGCTCAGCCCAAGCTGACTGCAGTTCCCTGTAGGGTTTATATGTTCTCACAAACAGCTTCTTGGAAAATGTCAGCGACAGGGTGTGTAAGAGATGACTGACACAAAGAGAAAATGCATTCCTCTGTCTGAGAGGACTAAGATTGTTTTAGACTGAAATTATGTGCCTAAAAGGTAGTGCTGTCCTTATGCATTCCCTCTGCAACACAGCATGGAAGCTTTGCGTAAAAACAGTGTAGGTGTGGGGGGTGGGGGGCAAGAAATGGAAAGACAGAAAATTAGACATTTTATTTTACATCACATTCTGTACTGAGCACTGACTCTGCACATAGCAAGGACAAGAATGAGTTACTGTTTGTTCTATGAAAGGTTAACTCAAATTAAACTTTCACTTTGAAATTTCAGAGTCAGCAACTTAAGAGACTTCAATTGCCTAACTTGGAGATTTAAACTGCCTAACCTTCCCCTGTTTGACAGCCCTTTCTGGATGATTAATGGAAAGCTATAAACAGCATTTGCAGAAGGATATCTACCTCCTTTGCTGGGAAGAAGGGGTTCCAAAACTGGCTTTGTAAGAAGAATGAACAACAAATGAGTCTTATAGGTCTGAGCAAGCAAACAGACAGCACAGGTTCCTACTATTTACAAGCCAGCTATCAGCCAGATAGCAAGAACCAGTTCTTTCTGTTGACACTGGAGCAGCATTCCTTTCCCCAAATGACCAACAGTCAGACCTTTTTCCCCACCCCAGCTCCCCAGGCAGTATTAGGAGGCCCTAGCAACACACACCTACCAGCAAGGTTACCCCCAGGGCAGTAGCGTTCCCCGTCTCAATGTGTTTTGTTCAGGAAGGTATCCAGGGTGTCTGCTTCACCCAGGCAAGCAGCAGGTGGCCATCAGCAGGTTAGCAGTTGCCCGTCCAGGAAAGTGCCTCTTCACCTCATCAGGGATGCCATTTCCCCAACTATGGATTGGCAGCATGCGTACAACCCCACGAGATACATCTCCCCTGTAGAAAATTAAACAAGCTCTCCTTCTAAAAACAGAGCTTTGCCAAGACTGCACAAGCCAAATCCAAGGGTTTTGCTGTATTCTGTCTCCTTCTCTCTTCCATAGTTGCCCAGTTTGCGTCTATGGCTCCTACCAATGCTCAAACTGTGCCCAAATCTTCCCTTGGTGGGCTGGGTGCTCTCCTGGCTCCCGCATCACACCCAACAGCGCTGTGTCCCACACCACCTCCATGGAGAATATAGAGACTGAGTGAAGGACATTCTAATTCCTGTTCCCATCAGCACCATGGGTTTTCTTTGGATTTCCTACAGATATATTACTAACCCACCTTGCTCTTACTTTGCAGGAAGGGTGTAATGAGACTACAGCTCACTTGGAGAAAATATGAGGTGAAAACACAACAGCAGCTCCCAGGAGCGTGACTGTGCTATATGCGCATATCCAAGGCCAAAATCCAGCCACATATCTAACAGGGAGGCAGAAGCCATATTCAGGCTGCCAAGACTTTTCCAGTGCACGAACACAAACCCTCTGGAATGTGCCCCAATGAGCAGCTTTGGCCTTGTCAAGAGGAACTGCAGAGATTGTCCGTCCTGCAGAATGAGACACACCTTGACCCTCCTGCGAGGTAACTGCTCAGACCAAATTTCCCCTTACAGCCTGGCTCCACTGGCCTCGAGTCCTTGAAAGTGTAGGCACTGGTACATCTCCCAGTGTTTGCTCCTGTTCAGGCACAAAACAACTTTGCATACACACCTCTAGATGGAATATAAGGCACAATTTTATTTTCCCTCATCCCCCTTTCTCAGCTCACACCCATCACGATGTTGTTTTCTGGCAGCAAGGCTATGCAGTGATTGTGGGGATCCTCATGGTTTGTGCTCATGCAGCAGCCAGCAGCAGTGCCCTGGGCTCGCAGGAGCTCACCTGGCTGCTCAGAATGCCACTGTCCTGAGCAAACTCCTCTGTGAGGTGTCACTGGGTGGCCCACCCAAACACTCAGAGTTCTCCTTGACTTGTCCACAGCATGACCAGTGGGGGCATCCAGGGTGACCTTTGTGTCCATGGCCACAGCCTTGGTACCCACCTGCAAGAGAAGAGGCACCATCAGCTCAAACCAAAGTGGGCCAGAAAATCCCAGTGTGTCAGAGATTTTCACAGACTGCTTCAGTCCCAGGGCTTCCCTAAGACAAGGAAGCACATGCTGATCAGAGCACAGCATATTCAAGGCCAAAATTGTCAAGGCTCCTTAAAGAAAGGAGAACAACCAAGGGGGACCTCCCCATTCCAATTGCTGGGAAAAGCTGAAGATTTCCACCCCCTTGCTTGTTGAGTAATGCAGAACCCCATGCCAGCCACTGGTGGCTATGGCCAGAGCTAGACACAGATCAAGCACAGAAAAAGGAAGAGGCTCGTTCTAGACTAAAAATATGCAAAACACACAATGACATATGCAGGTCAAGGACAAGGAAACCGGCTGGGATCAAACAAATAAGGGAGTTGAACTTTCATCCTAAATGAGAAGTGAGGTTTCTCTGTAGGTCAGCATTGGGCAATGTGCAACACAGCTCAGAACCTCCCAGCCTGCCAAAACTGGAACAGGAACAGCATAGCCACAGTGCTGCTTAACCTCACTGAGAAGTGTGGGGAAAGTTGAGCACTCACCTGGCATGGTCCCCCCACAGGCACAACGAGCAGCTTTCTGCCCTCCGCTTGAGCAGAACGTGCAGCAGTGAAAAATACCTTGGTGCTCACGGAACTTGTTTTTCACCATCAGAGTGAACGGAGAGCCCTGCAGAGGACAAGCAAGCAGAAGGGCTGCTGCAGTGGGTACTATCAGATGTGTCTGCGTTTTCAAAAACCAAGCGGGTGATCCTGTCAGTCACAGGTCACTAAGCTCAGTCTTAAACTACTAAGTGGTAGAGGCAATCCTTAGAAAGATTTGAAGCAAATGCTTAGAAAAGAAAAACAAGTAAAGAAGAAGCAGTGCAAGAGAAATAAGAAATGCTACCTGTACATGCTGCCCTTTTACATAGACGCAGACAGCATACAAGCCTGGCTCCTCAGGGCTGTAGGAAATATGGTAGGTCCCATCACCGTTATCACACACTGTCGTCTTGACTGCACTATGAACAGAGGGAAGGTAAAGAGGTAAGTGGCTGGCAGAAAACTGCTCTACACATGAACCGCTGTTTGCCCTACATTTGTGGTCAGTTCCTTATCCTCAACCTGGTTCAGCAGTTTCAGCAGCTGCGGGTCTCAAGTGAGCTTAACAGGATGCATCAGCAATGCTTAAGCACTGAGTAGCTTTCACCTGCTATTGGGAGCTGCAATAGCCATACAAAGGAAGTCACACAAAGTTAGCTGCACTGCAAGGATTTGTAGCAACCCTGAGCACTGAAAGAGCAGAAGATGACAGAGAGCACATTTGCAGGTCAGATTATCCCATCAGATAAGAACCCTCAGAAATGGAGTAAATTCACAGCTTCAGAGAGCAGTTACCTCCAGAAAAGCCCATGAATAAGACAGGACATAAACACGGCAGGTTTGAATCACTTCAACCACTGTCCCAAATACATTGACCCCAACTCTTCCCTTCAATGCACTGAGGGGTTCTAGGTGCCTGCTGGTGAGCTCTCCCTTTCCAAAGTGAAGCTCACTGGGTTTCACAAGGAACCCTGGTGGACAGTGCCAGGGAGAAGACATCAGCTACTTACTCAGGGACTGATTGCCTGCTTCACAGAAAGATGGAAAGAGCTTTCCACAGAGAATTATCAGGCAGCTCTGCATAGAGAAAGGTGATCTTCCTAATCCCCACTAATTAGTCTCTTGTGCCCCACAACATGACAGTTTATAACCTTCCAGATTTGCAGATTGTACTCCCCACCCCCCGCCATCTCACATCAATACAGCTGCCAACATCATTTCCTGCCATGAACTGTTGTGGTGATATTTCACGCTCTTCTGTAGCTGCTGTGCCTCAACCCAAAGCCAGACAGCTTTCAGCAACGGATGTAGCAACTGCATACGTGCAAGAACAAGAAACTGAGTTAACGTGGCCACAGCGACCTCTACCCCACCAAGCAAAATCCACATAATCCTCATGTGCACACCTTCCTACACCATACGTGCACCTAAGGAAGGAAGGTGTACATTGGAACACTATTCTCAAACAATGATGCTCTATTGATAAGCATCTGTGCAGCCAATACCACTTCTGTACACCTTGTCAACACGCTCCCACAGCAAGGAGTTTTAGCATCCTGTCCCTTTTTTTGCCAGGTCATCCCACCAGCAGCGTTCCTGGAACAAGTTACGGCCAGCATCTTGCTCCACCTACTTTGTATGTGCTATAAAATAGAATAGATGTTTTTCTTAAGAACTGTTAAGAACCCAGTTGGTTCTGCATTTGTTCCTGGCTGTTTTATAGTGACAAGTGTGGCCTGCAAGCAGTAACAAAATATTTTTTTCTGGTTGGGCATTTTCATTGCGGAAACACTTAGGAGCTCAAGTGCAATCTTCCCTGCTTTTGCTAGAAAACCTCCAAACATGTTAAAGTGCTCAACACTTGCAACTACAGGAGAAAGTACGATAAAGTCCCAAAACAGCTTCTTTCTCCAGAACAAAAAGTAGGCACCTCCATCAACTGGCAGAGGCTCCTGGGCTTGGTGGACTGCCTGTCTGACTCGGGACAGTCATTCTGGGGTTGCTACATTTTACGCTCATTAGGTATTAACAAAAGCAGGAGCCCTGGGTGTCTACTGGTAGGGGTGGGAAGGAACAACAGCTCACCCTGACAATGTGTAACACCCAGTGAGAGTTGAATCCTTTAACAAGTCCCAAATCACTCAGACTCACTGCAAATCTGATCCAAATTTGTTAAGCTCCACACAGCCAAATACAACCACAGCTATACCAGTGGGAAGAACAGTAGTGCCTTTTCTCCTACAGATTCTGACACACATGCTGAAGCATGTCTTCCCATCTGCCCAAACGAGGAGGGAGCCAGGGTAAGGGAGGCAGAAAGGCAAAGCCAGTAATCAGGGAGTTCTCAGGTGAAATACCCACCAGTCCCTCTTGTCCTTGTGGGTGATGGTGACCCGCACAGCCTCTCCTCCTCGCCTCATCCGCTCCCCCGTAGCGTCATTGCAGAGCAGGGTAAAGCCAGTCAGCTGGTTCTGACGGGCACTGTGGAGATCTGTAAGGCAGAGAAACAGGACTAGAAAGAATTCACACCAGCCACGGTTGCCACTTCCCACCTATTTTGCAGTTCCATCAGAGCACAGCCAGGACTTTGCTGCTGGGGAGTACAGGTCCAGGGAAAAGTAAATATATTGACTGGGGATCAGGAGAGAGTGCACAGCCATAGGCACTGAGAGATTTTGGGCAGTCTTAGCCCAGAGGTCTATATGGACCAGGATGGTCTTCCTTGCCTGCCCCTCTGCGCCCAGTGGCATCTTCCCAGAAGGCATCAAGGTGCACCATGCAACCAGGAGGGAGGAGGAACAGCCCCACTGTGCAGCGTGGAGCCCCAGAGACCTCAGCACTTACAGGCTGGCATGGAAGGGATCAAATGAGCCCTGTGTCTGTCTCATCTGCCCGGCACATGCCATTACTGACCAGAGCTGGCTGTGCTCTGTGGGCTGGTCTGAATGTTATCTGTTTGCTGGCCCTGTTCCAAGTCCTTAGTAAGCAAACATCTGTGAAACCATCGATGACAGTTACTCCCATGGCAATCTTAGCAGAAGCTGTAAGTGGAATGAACCTACTCGCTCAGCCTCAGAGGGGATCTGCCTAGGCCCATGCTGCATAACAGCCATTCCCACCCCAAGTGAACTGTGGTCTTTGGCCTAAGGGCTGCTCTCCTCACACCTCAGCCCCATGCTGAGGTCAGTAATGTTGCAGAAGGCAGCTCCAGCATGCTCTGTACATCTGGACAGGGATAGCTCTCTGGGTCCCCCCCAGCACGGCTCCCACAGGCCCTCAGCAAGAATTGCAACCTCTGGCAGGGCTCTACCTCCACCCCTAGTCAATGCCTGGACAGCAGGGAGCCAACAGTGCCTCAAGCTGCACACCACGTGGGTACAGAGAACAAGAGAGCTGACTTCAGGGAGCAGTGTGTTCTCATTCAGCTGTTATACAGCACCCCATTACCTTCCCCATGCAGGGTACATCTGGCTGGATCAACCACTTTATTGAGAATGGCCCCAAAAACTTCATAGCCACAACACTGCCCTGCCCTCTCCTGGGGAGAGAACTGGATCCCGTCATCCACACTGGGGTGGGTGTTGTAAGCAATGCTGTTCAGCTTTGCCAGCCGGCTCGCCACCACCCCTTTGGTGATGAGGATTTCCAGGTCTGAGCCGCTTGTCAGCAAGCGCTCCGTGAACTCCACGCCTGTCCTCATGTCCAGCAGCAGCTGCTGCAGCTGGGCCTTCTGCAAGTGCAGCAGGTTTTCCTTCTGCACCTTCAAGTCCTCCAGCTGCTTCAGCATCCGGTCCCGGTGCTCTTCAATTGCTTTCACATACCCACTAGCAAACAGACAGATCTCTGTGGCCACAGCCTCTGCGCGACTGCGGACGGCACTGCCCATGTCATCAATCTGACCTAGCACATCTTCTAGGGTGCCCATGTGCTGCTGGGTGCTTTTTAGCAGCTCCCGCAGGGCGTCCCCATGCCTGTGGATGACATTGCCAGTGAAGTCATAGGAGTGCTGCCGGTGCCTGTCTACAACGCAATCGCGGCACACAGGCTGGTCACACTGCTCACAGAACAGCCTTAGCTCCTCTGTGGGATGGGAAGGGCAGAAGAGAGGCTTCCCAGCCTGGCTGCAATCCTTGGTGTTCTCCAGCTCCATCACAGCATGAGAGGCTGTCTTCTTCTGTCTCCTAGACGGAAGCAACCACATGTCACTTCATGCATGTTGGATATGAAATGCAAACACCCAAGACCCCTTGTGAATGCCAGCCTGTACAGACTGCAAAACACAGTGTGTGTTGCTCCCTCCTGTCTCCACTGAAATTCACTCTGCATGAAGGGACTTTTGGTCTCCTGAGGACAAGGCTCCACAAAAAGAGGACAGCATCTGCAAGCAGCTCATTAGAGGCTGCTCTCAGGCTCCCTGCATGCTGTCAACACTATTTTCAGACACAAGAATCGTGTGCCCCACCATGGCCACACACAGACCAGGGAATGGGCTGTCAGGCTGCTCCTGCCAGCAGCCCCTTCATGGAGCCTGAAGGAAGTGGGATAGTTGCAATTCCCCCCGAGACTGCTGTGACAAAGACAGCAGGAGGGTGGTGAGCCCTGCAAAATGAGAGCTGGCAGGAGGTGTCTCAAAACAGTATTGCTCACCGACAGTCACTTCTGGAGAGGAACGGGAGATGCCAGGCTCCTCAGCCATCAGCCCAGTGATTTTCACGAGCTTTAAATTTCCTGAGGCAAATGAGCTCTAAGATCCCTTATGGGAAAATCTAGTTCAGGCCACTACCAAAAGACAGTCTGTGGTAATACGTTTAAAATTCCAGAAGTCAAACTTCATTTCCTTCCAGCTGCCCGGTTAGATCCTGCTCAGATGAGACCAAGGATGTCACACAAAGAACCTGTTAGGACCCAGCCATCCACCATGTCACAGGGCAGCACCAGAATATTTGCATTTTATGCTATTTTGGACACTGGGAGCTAGTTATTGAGCAGGATGTAAGAGCCTTCTCTCCTTCCTTGTCTTCTGCACTAATGACTTTTGGAAGCTGCAATGGGAGCTCCAAGCCACAAGCAAAGAAATACTCTGAGGACCAAGCTCTGTAGAGTTGCTCTGGCAACACAAAGCAACCTCATCACAGGGTAGGACATGACCCTTATACTACTCCTTTCGCTTCCCACTAGCCTCTCTTGGGTCCAGCACATTTTCAAAGCCTTCTAGCATTATTTGCATAACACCCTTCAAATTCACACTTCCCGGACTTCAACCTAAGACCTCTCTCACTTATCCCAAGGAGCACAACAGTGGCACTCAGATCCTTCAAAATCTTCCCTAC